ACGTGATGTTTGGTTAAGGTGTTGTTGACGAGGAGTTCATCACCTGATACCGTGATTCTCCTTCCCCCTCCCCCTCTCCTTCCCCTCCCCCCCCTCCCTCTCCCTCTCCCGTGTGTGTGTGTGTGTTTGAACAGTGGCGGCGGGGGCAGAAGAAATGAGGTGGCTTGGTGGGGAGGAGGCGGATGTTGCAGGCGGGGCGTGAACGGATGGCTCAACCTTTGTACCTGGCCGCAGTCCACCGCATGCATTGTGTAGCAGGGCGCAGCACCACGACCATCACCACCACCAGCAGCGTCATGTGGGGTGTGGGTGTGGGGTGGGTGGGTGTGGGTGGGTATAAAGGCGTGTTGAGGCCTGTTATTGTAAATGTGGGAGGCACTATGGATCATCCCACACTCACAATAACTCATTATCCCTTCTCACACCTTCCACCACCCGTCACCATACACCATTTGTTGACCTATATAAACCATTCACTGTATCCTGTATTGTGTTTAGGACTTGACTCTATCTCACTTTATGGTTACTGTAGGATTTTGGGTTAATGTATAGATGGTCTCGTTGCCTCATTGACTTTATTTTACTGTTTTTATTGATATTTTATTTTTTATTTTTTATTATTTATTAACTTCTGTTTTTTAATTTTTTGTTTCCTCCTTCCCTCTCCTTCCCCCCTCCCTTCCCCCTCCTCCTTCCTCCTTCCTTCCTTCCTCTCTCCCCCTCCTCTTCCCCTTCTTCCTTCCTTCCTTCTTTCCTTATTCCTTTCCTTCCTTCCTCTCTCCTTTCCCCTTCCTTCCTTTTCCTCCTCCCTCCTTCCTTCCTTCCTCCTCTCTCCTTCCTCCCTCCTTCCTCCACCTCAGAGCGTCACTAGAGGCCGTTATGAGTCAGGGGTGGCAGTGGGGAGGTGATTGGTCTATGTCTGTAATAATTACCTCTCAGTTACTTCCTCTTACCGTCTTATTATCGGCTCTTTACGTCTTCCTTCTCCCCTCCTCCTCCTCCCCGTCCACCTCCTTCTCCTCCCCCCCCCTCCACCTCCTTCCTCTATCTCCCTCTACCCCTATCTATATCATCATCGCCCTCGTCCCACACCACCACCCCTCCCTCTTTCCCCCCCCCACCACCTCCTTCATCCCTCCTTTTCCCCTCCACCACCTCCTTCATCCCTCCTTTCCCCCTTTTTTCACCACCTCCTTCATCCCCTCCACCACCGATCCCCTCTCCTTATCCATCATACTTGGGAGGGAGAATGAAGTGTCCTAAGAGGGCGGGTCCTGTTTGCCACACAATTCATCACTGGTGGAGGCCCGTCTGGTGGAGACCCCGTGCGTGGAGAGACCCCGTGACTGATGGAGACCCCGTGACTGATGGAGACCCTGACTGTTGGAAGACCCCGTGACTGGTGGAGAGCCCCGTGACTGGTGGAGAGACCCCTTGACTGATGGAGAACCCGTGACTGGTGGAGACCCCGTGACTGGTGGAAGACCTGTTGGAGCCTGACTGGTGGAGACCCCGTGACTGGTGGAGACCCCGTGACTGTTGGAGAGACCCCGTGACTGATGGAGACCCCGTGACTGGTGAAGAGCCCGTGACTGATGGAGACCCCGTGACTGATGGAGGCTGACTGGTGGAGAACCCCGTGACTTTGTTGGAGAACCCGTGACTGATGGAGAGGCCCCGTGACTGATGGAACTGTGACTGTTGGGGAGAACCCGTGACTGATGGAGAACTTACGTGACTGATGGAAGACTTGTGACTGATAGGAGAACCCGAGCCTGATGGAAGACCCCGTGACTGATGGAAGACCCGTGACTGATGGAGAGACCCGTACCTGATGGAGAACCCGTGACTGTTGGAGCCTCGTGACTGATGAACCCCGTGACGTGGAAGACCCGTGACTGATGGAGAACCCGTGACTGATGGAGAACCCCGTGACTGATGGAAGACGGCCTGATGGAGAACCCGTGACTGATGGAGACCCGTGACTGGTGGAGAGACCCCGTGACTGTTGGAGAGACCCCGTGACTGATGGAGAGACCCCGTGCCAGCGTTCTCACTCATTAAATGCCGATGTCTCTTTTATCTCTAGTGGGGCAAATATTTTTTTTTTCGCTATAAGGTTGGTTGGGTTAGTGGTGGTGACTGTGTGGTGATGATGGTGATGATGGTGATAGTGGTGGTGATGATGGTGATAATGGTGGTGATGATGGCGACTGTGTGGTGGTGATGATGGTGATAATGGTGGTGGTGATGGTGATAGTGGTGGTGATGATGATGATAATGGTGGTGATGATGGTGATAATTGTTGTGGTGGCGGTGATAATGTTGGTGGTCGTAGTAGATTGTGGTTTTGTTGGGTTGTTTTTCTTCGTGGTTGTGTGGTAGTGATAATGGTGGTTGTAGTAGTGGTAGTTAGTGGTGGTGGCCGCTGCAATGGAGTTCATACCTTTAGGAAATTGTGGTTACTTCTCCGGTTAATGGTGGTGATTGACATGGCAGGGATTGTTGTAGGTAGTGGCTGTGATTGTTGTTGCCTTAATGGTGGTGGTGGTCGTTTTAGTGTACCGATTGTGGTAGTGTGTTTGGGTGGGTGAGTTTGTTTGTTTTCAGTAATGATAAATAAAAACTAATTATATATTTATAATTGAGAGGAAAACAGAATGGAACTTGATATTATATAGAAAGACATTATTTTCACGGTCCACTAACATTAATGAAGGCTGGGGAGGGGACGCGAAGGGTGTAAACAGGGAGGTGTAAAAAAAATGTGTGTGTGTGTGTGTGTGTGTGTGTGTGTGTGTGTGTGGGGCCAGGTGGTTTGGGTCGTGTAAGGCTGTAGGTAAGTTATCGCCAGTTGGTATATATAGATAGTCATCACGTAATGGATTGACGTAAATACAACAGGTGGGTAATAGAAGTTGTTGAGGGAGACAGGTAGGTGGGGGGGGTGGAGGGAGTGATGAGGTGAAGTGGAGAGTGAGAATTGAAGTGTATTTAAAGGGACAGCAGGACGTGGTGTTTGTTTACCTTGGGGGGAGGGAGGAGGGTCCGTACCATCAGTTGTTTTCATTGAACGTATTTATTTAATATCTAGTCCCCCCCTCCAGGTCTCCCTTTCCTAACCTAAACACAGTAGCGAGAAGGGTGTTGAGGAGAGGGAGTAATAACGTAGTGGGGGGGTGTGTGGCTGGGCAAGGTTGTGTGTCTTGTACCATACATGAGAGAAGACAGGTGTGGTGTACGTGAGGGGTTAGGTTAGGTTTTTGTGTGTGGGGAGTCAGTGTGTGTGTGTGTGTGTGTTCTATTCTGTAAACGGAAGAGTGAGGAGGTGGTGGGGGGGGTTGAAGGCTTCTGAACGACAGCTTACGCCGTCAACTGGCGGCCGGACTCTTAAACCAACACACCCAACCAGCTGTTCCTCTATCCTTCTATCCTTCCTCGTCTTCTGCCTTCACCATATCTGTCTTCCATCCACAATCCCCCCACCTCTCACCCCCCCCGCCCCCTCTTGGCAAGCACAACTCCTGCACCTGGCTCGCCCCTCCCCTTAAAGAGTGTGGCCAAGGGGTGAAAAGTAAACACGGTGTGACAGTGTTGACGGCTCATGGTATAGCAATAATCTCTGTCGTTTTCACAAGCTCGTTAAAATGTCGGTCAAATCTAAGACGATTAAAATTAATTGACGGGCTGGAAATAGACAGAGACAGTGTGAGTGTGTGTTTAACCCCCAGACTTATGACAGTATAAATTCATTTCGAGGGTGACCTTATACCTACCTGGGTTAAGACGTTGGACAGGTGGTTGAACAGTGGCTCATTATCAAGTGTATACAGTATAGTAGCCCCTGTGTCACCCACCCACTCACCCACCCACCCACCCACCCTGTTCATAGTTTTTGTCAGGAAGTTTTACAGTTTTGGAAATCCCGTTGGCGACCCTCCTCCTCCCTCCCCTGAGCTGTGTTGACAAGGGAGGCGATAAGAGGGAGACTTACGTGTGTGCGTGCCGGCTATGTTGTTGCGTCGTGCTAAATTAGGTAACCCACAAATTTGGGCTCTTCATGTAACGCTCAGGTGGTTAGTTGTGGTGGAGGGCAGGATTCTGTTACGGCGGAGGAGAGAGAGGTGGGTATAATTTGCATAGCCACATGTTCAACCTCTATGCCACTCTTAATGGTATTGTTACTGACCACGTTTCTACTTCTTCTTCTTCTTGATGTGTATTGCAGAGTTGAAATATATTATTATTATTATTATTATTATTATTATTATTATTATTATTATTATTATTATTGAACAAGAGTGAGTTATAATTATGTGTATGGGGCAGTTTTATTGGACTTCATCTGGCAACACACACACACACACACACACACACATACACATACACATACACACACACACTTTTTATCATATTTTAATAACTAATTGGTGGCCAAAACACAATAGAGGCATATTTTAAGTTAACAAATTAAGAAGTAACAATATTAATGATACCTTGTTCTCACCTCCTTGTAACTTTATCTGGTTAAACGCACCAAGAATGTGTGTGTGTGTGTTGCTTTGTGTGTGTGTGTGTGTGTGTGTGTGTGTGTGTGTGTGTGTGTGTGTGTGTGTGTGTGTGTCAGTTCCAGTTAATGATGAGTTCAGATTTATTTACATATTTTCAATGTGTTGTGTAGCTAAAGTGAAGGGATGGTGTGTATGATGAAGCAGGATTGATTACACTGAGAGAAGCACTACAGAAGCACTATACTTTATACTTGGATTTGGGTCCTGAAGCACAATACATAATTTAACTTTATTGTTGTTTAAATATTATGGGTTTTAGGACATGATATAGTGTTGATGGTGAGAGTGAAACTGCATCATGGTGGGAGTGGTGTGGTGTGGTTTGGCTTGTCCTGGATATACTGTAGTTATATACTGTGTGAATACAAACCAATACATTATGTCCTGTATACTGTAGTGTGTGGGCTTATACTGTATCACATTGATCAGTTTCAGCTGGTCGCTTCAACGAGGGATGTGAGTACAGCGGTGAGTAGTACTGTACTGTTACCTCACGTTCCTTTTCCTTACTAACTCTTCCTAAACACAAGTAACCATTCGGGACCTGGGTAATGCTTGGCTTTTTCTGGGTGGTGTGGGGCTTGGGTGGTGTGGGGCTTGGGTGGTGTGGGGCTTGGGTGGTGTGGGGCCTAAAAGGGTGCTGTGGGGCCTGGTGCTGTGGGGCCTGGGTGCTGGGGCCTGTGTGGTATGGGGCCTGTGTGGTGTGGGCCTGGTGGTGTGGTGGCCTGTGTGTGGTGTGGGGGCCCTGGGTGCTGTGGGGCCTGGTGGGCCTGTGTGGTGTGGGGGGCCTGGGTGCTGGGGCCTGGGCACGTATCATGGAGGGGTGAGAGGACCCAGGTGTGTTTTGTCATGAATTAATTAAACAGCGTGAGCGTCACACACCGTCGCTTCACCCTGCTGGCTCGACCTCAAGTGTTGCAGCTGGTGGAGACAGCCATCACCCATGTACCACCTGATAGCACTTGACTTACACACTTGGCTGAGATTTGCTAAACCCCAGGAGGGACTCTGGGGTGTGTACCTGAAGAGGATGGGGGGGGGTGAAGGTTCAACATACATCAGGTGGAGGAGCACAGAGAGACAGCCGGAGGGGGGGGGGTACACTAGGTCATGACCCAGCTTGGCCTCGTTGATACTGTTAACGAGAGTGTTAGGGTGGGGATCGGTGGTAGAAGCCGTACCGACCTTGCCTCGCAAGTGAGATGTCACGGGTTCGATTCCCGGGCCGGTGGAAGTTGTTTGGACTTACTTCCTAGCCCCCATTAGTCCCTGTTCACCTAGCAGTACAGTAGGTACCTGTTGTAAGTCGAAAGTTGCGAATTCGTATTCAGGGACAAGTTGTTGGAGCTTCCAATGACTTGATGACATAAACCATTGACTCTTCAGGCTTCCACACCATTGACTCTTCAGGCTTCCACGCCCTTGACTCTTCAGGCTTCTACGCCCTTGACTCATGAGACATAAAGGCAAGCATGAACTTAGCATGCTTCCCTGTTGGGCACTGTAAACGCTTCTGCGCTTCACCTTACACGAGGATGTAGGGGAGTGCCCAATAAACAATAAAAAAAAAAGAAGAGTGTTAGGGGGAACAGTCTGTGGGAGGCGGCCTTTACGAGGTGTGGCGGGTCGTGTACACCTGGCCCCTGTTACCTGCCTGCACTGGTGATGGCTCTGTTTATCTCTCCCTTCTCTTAATTTATCTCTGCTCTTGTGCTTTATTTACTGTTTGTTTAAGTGTTTTTTTTTTATTGTTCTTTTGACAAATAACATTTACTGAAGTGAACTAATGAGTAGTTTATTATGTATAGTGTTTGTGATGTGTGTTGATGTTCTGGCCAGACACACACACACACACACACACACACATTTATACACACACAAGAACATTGGTGGTTATGATGACAAATGACTGTGATAACACGACCCTTTTTAAGCATAAATCAGGATGGTGTTGGTCAAGAGCAACGATTACCGACTCCCTCCCCCTACCCCTCTTTCCCCTCACCTCCTCCCTTCTCTACCCTCTCTCTCTCTCCTCCTCATCTCTCTCTCCTTCCTGACCAACACATTCCCTCTCACCCAATTGTCTCCTGGATTTATTTACGCGGATGAGTGGGCAGGTGTCCCTCTCCCCCCCCCTCCCCTGTCATTACATTGATTTATCCCCCGGAGGTAATTATATCCTGCATGTTAGCTCCCCCACTCATTCCTCCCCCACTCTCTCCCCCTCATTCCTCCCCCTCTCTTGCGGTTGGTTGATGAGTCGGGGGTGAGGGGCGCTGAGTGGCAGGGGAGGAGAGGGTGTGTGAGTGGTTGGGGGAGAGGGGAGTGGACTGTGAGAGGGGGAGGATACAGGGAGGGGGGGGGAGACCCGAATTGCTGGAAGAGGGGTTGGAGAAGGAAAGGGGTCGCGGAATAGTGAGAGGGGTGGGATGGGGAGCCTGAGAAGGACCAGGTTTTGTGTTTTGGCATAATATACTTAATTAATATAGAACTGTTTTGGTTTTTCTTTACCTCCAAGTTTGGTCGAGAGAGAGAGTCACAATGTTTTGAGGACGGGGGCGGCAGCAGCTTCAGAGGGGGCCGGCACCGTTTAGTGGTCTCAGTCACGGTCTGCTGGGGCGATATTGTGTCCGCAAAATGATTTAATAAAGTGGGAAGAGTTTTTCAAGCGTAGCGCCGTCGACCTTAAGGCTTATTAGGGGGGCAGGGGTGGGGGAGAGGGGGTGGGGGGAGAAAGGAGGGTGTGTTGTCATTAAGAGTGAAATTTGTTTAGTGTTTTCTGTGGATGGAAAATTATCATCATTTTGGTTAATTTATTTGTTTGTTTGTTTGTTAAGTGGGGTTTTAGTGTGGTATATATACTGTATAAAGAATAAGATATATATATATATTGTATCTTATTCTTTATTGTTTTATTCTCCTTTCATTTATCTCTCTCTCTCTCTCTCTCTCTCTCTCTCTCTCTCTCTCTCTCCACCTTCAAACACCTGTCCTATTAATGTGAGTTGTACCGACCTCTTGATGCCGTGTGTGTGTGTGTGTGTGTGTGTGTGTGTGTGTGTGTGTGTGTGTGTGTGTGTGTGTGTGTGTGTGTGTGTGTGTGTTTGGCGCTCGAGGTCTTTGCTCAACCTTCATACTAACCGGAGTTAATAGCCTTCCGTTCCTCTCCTTTCACCTCAGATTGAGAGATGTGTGTATAGACATGATAGAGCCATAATGAAGTGTGTATAGACATGATTGAGCCATAATGAGGTGTGTATAGACATGATAGAGCCATAATGAAGTGTGTATAGACATGATAGAGCCATAATGAGGTGTGTATAGACATGATAGAGCCAGAATGAGGTGTGTATAGACATGATAGAGCCAGAATGAAGGGTGTATAGACATGATAGAGCCAGAATGAGGTGTGTATAGACATGATAGAGCCAGAATGAGGTGTGTATAGACATGATAGAGCTGGGTGTGACATGATAGAGCCAGAATGAGGTGTGTATAGACATGATAGAGCCATAATGAAGTGTGTATAGACATGATAGAGCCATAATGAGGTGTGTATAGACATGATTGAGTCATAATGAGATGTGTATAGACATGATAGAGCCATAATGAGGTGTGTATAGACATGATAGAGCCATAATGAGGTGTGTATAGACATGATTGAGCCATAATGAGATGTGTATAGACATGATAGAGCCATAATGAGGTGTGTATAGACATGATAGAGCCATAATGAGGTGTGTATAGACATGATAGAGCCATAATGAGGTGTGCATAGACATGATTGAGCCATAATGAGGTGTGTATAGACATGATAGAGCCATAATGAGGTGTGTATAGACATGATAGAGCCATAATGAGGTGTGTATAGACATGATAGAGCCAGAATGAGGTGTGTATAGACATGATAGAGCCATAATGAGGTGTGTATAGACATGATAGAGCCATAATGAGGTGTGTATAGACATGATTGATGGACCAGTAAGAGAGGCCAAGGAGGTGGTACAGATGTAGGAGGCAGCAGCAGGTGGGGTGGTTATGACCGCCTCCTGCAGGTATATAACACAATGCACAAGGAACCTCATGTAGTCTGGACCCGCCCTATCCTACCCTACCCTATCCTATCCTATCCTATCCTATCTTATCCTATCTTATCCTACCCTATCCTATCTTATCCTATCTTATCCTATCTTATCCTCTATCTTATCCTATCCTATCCTATCAACCTATCCTATCTTATCCTATCCTATTTTATCCTATCCTCGTAAAATATATAAAGGCTACGATAGAGTCAATCCCTATTATTGTGTCTGGATTGTACCGAGAGATTTTACCTGAACTAGATAGGATAGTTAACACAGAATCATCTAGAGTATGAGAGACGTGGGTGGGTGGGGGGGGTGGGCCTTAGTGTAACTGTTCTTGGGTGTAGTGATCAAGGTGTATTGTCCAGCCATGAGGGTGTGGTGCTGAGTGTAAACAGATTGTTGTGTTGAATGTTTTGGTAGGAGTGGAGGGTGACCAGGTGTAGAGGTGTGGTGCAGGTATAATTAGCAGGCTCTGAAGTGTGTGGTGGACAGGTATGACGCCCCCAATTAACACCGGTCAGAGGTGTGTGTGTAAAGTCTGGTGGGGGGTGATGGTGGTGATATACTGTTCAACACCAGTTTCACCAACTCTCTCTATATTATAACCTGGAACAAATTAGGATTTTATGTAATATTAAACCTGCCAGACACACTCAGGGGAACAGGACATGTGGGTTGGCTCTCTCTTGCCTGACTGACTACACCATAACGAGGAGATTAGTTAGTGCAGAGCAACCCAGGCTTGATTAATTAAACGCCAGGCTTGTTATGGACGCCATCCTTCGTTACCATGACAACCCGTGACGGTGGTGGTGGTGGTGGTGGTGGTGGACAAGGGTAATGGATCAGACGATGATGATGATGATGATGATGATGATGATGATGAAGGGTCCTGGCGGTGTATTTCTATGACGGGGGGGGTGGACATATCTATACGGTATACACACATTAGGGTTGACAGTGAGTGTGTTTTATGGTCATCTTCAAGTGTGTATTCGTGTGAGGATGTGTGAATGTTAGGTCCCACCCTCCTTTACCACCTTCCCCCTCCCCTTTCACCCCTCCCCTTCACCTCCTTCGTCAGTGGTAACTCGTCCAGACACACACACACTCAACCTGTCACTCACATACTTTAGTGACGGCGCCCACCTCTGCCCCCCCCTCCTCTCTCCTCCCCCACTCTATCCCTCTCTTCACCTTTATCCCTCCAACCTCTTCTACCTTTCCCACCTATCCCAACCCTTCCATCTCCCTCCCAAACCAGAGAGATAGCAGAAGAATCTCTCGCTCTGTGTGTGTGTGTGTGTGTGTGTGTGTGTGTGTGTGTGTGTGTGTGTGTGTGTGTGTGTGTGTACCACCTGAGGCGTCCAGGGTGTC